GGTCATGCACTGGGCTGGGCCCTCTAGCTTTTCGATTGCCAGGGGAACGCCCAAGTCCCTGCAGACGGCTAGGATCCTGTCCAAATTCACCCTACACGTGTCTGTGTCTGGGGGACCCATCGTGACAAAATCGTCCAGGTAGTGGTCTACCACCGACACTCCCCTCTGAAGCATCACCCACTGCAATGCATCCGCCACCGCCGTGAAGATCTTTGGGGCTGACCTGAGGCCGAATGGCAGGGCCCCATCCACGTAGCACGCCCCATGCCACTCTATTGCCAGCAGGTTGCGGTCCCCTGGGTGGACTGAAGCAAACGATAGGCAGACTTGATGTCCAACTTGGCCAGCAGTGCTCCTCTGCCCAGTTGCTGGGCGGCCCTTGCAACACGCTCAACCGAAGTGTACTTGAGGGAACACAGCTCGCTCCGAATCCCGTCGTTGACGCTGTTGCCCTCGGGGTACGAAAGGTCCGTGATCAGCCGCCATTTCCCCGGAGTATGGCCTTTTGGGACCACCCCCATCCGGTTGATCTGCAGTCCCTCAATGTGGCCCGGAGGGAATGGTCCCAGCATCCTCCCCTCCCGGGTCTCCGTGTTGATGTAGGCATCCACCACCGAGGGGTGGAGCATGGCAGAGTACATGTTGTGGCACGTCGGGGTCAGCGGGCTTCCATGAGTAAAGCCCACACGAAAACCATGCTCTATGCCGTTCATCACATACCCAGCAAACTCCCTGTCTGGGTGCCCTGCCAGGGCCTGCTGCCACTGAGGTAGGTGGCTGGTTAGGGGAGACGAAATTCCCAATAGCTCTGGCTGTACCGTGCCTGCCACCCGAGGGTGTGCTTCCTCCAGTGCATAGAGATCCCGGGTGTATGGGTATGGCCCTGTGGTGCATGCAGAGCATATCATGGGTATGCTATCCCAACATGCTCAAATAAGTTTCATCAACCAAAGATAAGCAATGACACACAGGCATAATATGATCATGAGCAGCTCAGGTATATACCACCGGATGTGCAGTCACGCCTTCTCACGCCGATGTCGTGGAAGGCCGAGTGGTTGGCGGGGACTGCGTCCTCGGGCGTTTAGGGTTATCCCCCCCGCAGTCAGAAGCTGGATGGGGCCGCTTGCATTTTGAGCACAAGTGTGCGAAACGGCACTGCGTATAACGGCACCTCTGCCCCCCTGGGGCGTTGTAGAGGCGACATAGCTCAACCACCGCTGGTGTGGAGGAGGAGGAGGAGCGGCCTGCCGGTTGGCGAGGTGGCAGTGGCCCCCGTGATGGGCGGTACTCTGGTGTTGTCTCAGCTGGGGCGTGGGGACACTCAGGGGAGGTGTGAGTGTCTGCTAAGCAGTAGCGACAGCGAGGGATCATCTTCGCCCTCCCAGCGAACGCCTCGCTGTACAGGGCGGCATCCACGATGCCCCAATCCAGGGAGCCCCTATTGGCCGCTTGCCTACGGTACGCCATATCGTAGGTAGCCAATGCCGAACTCTCGAACGTCCGGCTCGCCTTGATGATTGTGCGGAGGTAAGCAAAAAAATGTGGGGCCTTCTCGGGGTAGGTGCAGGAGAGGATGGCCGCCAGCGTGGCGTAGCATTCTACCCACACATTGATGTCGGTGACAAGGCTCCGGCGAGGGCGCTTGGAATGACAGCAGGCCCCTTCCGCCGACTCCACCTGCCAGGTTTCGGGGAGCAGTTCCCAAATGTCTATATACTCTCTGGCCACAATCTTCCTGATCAGCTTAGGAGGAACAGAGCCAAACCCCGGCAGGCTTGCCAGCTCCGCCGATGGCCCCCCGTTCCCCCCTCCATCCTCGCCGGCTCCCTCACAAGAGCTGACGGCCAGCTCAGCACCGATGAGGTGTGGGTCCCCAAGCTTGCACCCCTTGCCAGGGAAAAGATGGGCAGACCAGGAAGCGCACCTGGGGGGGGGGCGCCTGGCCTCGGGAGACTGCCCCGACACCGAGCCATCCGAACGGGTGGAGCTAGCACCTGCTGCACGCTCATCATCCTTTGCTTAACCAGGGGAACACTGAACTCGGCCACCTCCCTTCTGGTGCGGTGGCCCTGACTACCGGGCCACTGGCCCCCGCGCAACACCAGGCGACCCCCTCTAGTGCACCAGACCAGCTGCATCCGCATACCAGAGCACTCGGTGCTCAGCCATTGCATACCTGAGCTTCCGGCACAATCTGCTGCATTGGGAGCACTCGGTGCTCCGCCATTGCAAACCGGAGCTTCCGGCACAACCTGTTGCATTGAGAGCACTCGGTGTTCAGCCATTGCATACCGGAGCTTCCTGCACAACCTGCTGCATTGAGAGCACTCGGTGCTCAGCCATTGCATACCGGAGCTTCCGGCACAACCTGCTGCCTTGAGAGCACTCGGTGCTTAGCCGTTGTGGCCAAGGGCACCTGGTGCCCCATGTTGAACCAGAGCACTCGGTGCTTTACCCACCCCTACTGGAGCACTTGGTGTCGCGGACAGCCTGGGCGCCCCTTGCCGGGCCACGAGCACTCGGTGCTCGGAAACCCCCTGCGACAGCCTGCCGGGTCTATGGATGCCCCGCCCTCGGGCGGATGGGGGTACCCGGTACCCCGAGGCGGGCGAGAGAGTTCGAGAAAGAGTGGGAGGAAACAGTGAAAGGGAAAGGGGAGAGACAGGTCCGGGGGACGGGGCATTGCGCAGGTGACGGGTATACCAAATAATCCAGCCGCCCAGCCCCAACTCTACTTACCGGACGTAGTTGGCGACGAAGCGGGCGTGTCAGACGCGCTGGTCACTGGGGGAGGGTCGGTCGACGCGGCCACACGGGCGGCAACGATCTGGTCGATCAGTGCCAACTGTTCAGCCGAAAAGGCGGACTCTCCCGCCCCCGTGCCCGTCGCGTCTTCTCCTGTCGACATTGGCTATCCGGGACGGGTCAGACAGATCCCAAAAAGAAAAAGGGGCAAGTAGTCGAGCAGTTCAGGCTCCGTTGGCTGCAAGCACTGCCTGGCAGACTGCACTGTCAGCACCACGTGCTCACGGTCGGTTATGCGCATGCGCCAACCGCTGACCGGCTCGCTAACCTCGGTTAACGTATACCGTTAAACGTCATTTAGCAGCAAATATGGCGTTGTTCAGTGTCGACCATGGAAGAGCTCCATGATCTACCGTAGTGACTTGCGGCAAGAAAGAAATGATCGCTTGATGTCCGTGCACACCTCCGGCGAAATTGGAGACGTTCAGTGAAAAAATCAGCGCTTCAGCTGGTACTGGTAAGGAGATAGCGGGTTTAAAGAAGAAGAAGAAGATGAAGAATATGATGACACGAAAATCAGAAATCGCGTATGAGCGGATTCTCGTGTCGAGAATTGCAGGGACGTATGAAACTTTTGGGCATATGTATAGGTAGATATGGACCCGTGAGTGATTTGTGGTGTGTTTTGAAGGCATAGCTAGCCATTTTCGCCGAGTTTCGAGGCGTTTTGTATGCGGATCACGTGAGATTTCACTCGTGTCATCCCTACATAGAGCGTCTACTGACGCTCTGATAGGAAGGCGGGTATATACCTGCCATTATGTTTGGCTGAGCAATGTTGGATGATGTGGGGATGTAGTCTAGGCAGAAAATCACCTGTGTGGCATTATCTGGTTGCTCATGCATAGCATCACTGCTGCTAAATTGTGCAAATGTCTCTTTTGCCTTGAGGGTTTGCACTTTAGTGCCTTTATTCTAGCATAATAATACGCAGTCTATTTTGTTAATAATAATTTATGTACACCTGCACAGCTATTCCCCACGTGGTGAGGAACTACGACAGGTCCCGATGCGGAATGACGTTTTTTTCACATGGGAAAATTTGAACCAAGTTTATTTCACTGACGTTTAGATAGCGGCATACGGAGGACAATGTGAATTTTTTTATACCATGCACCTTACCAGGCCACACAGCGTAGTCACCTTCCATATTTGTTAAGTGCAGTTCCTTGTCATTATTATGTATTCATTCACAACTTTTACGAGATAATTACTCTCTCAACCATGAAAATATTATTATATAACAATCAGACAACACAGAACAATGCAAGTCATGGGGAACTCTTGCTGCAGTTGGATTCTCATCTGTCACTAGTTACTCATTTTTATGGTTCTTAGTTTGTTTGAACTCCATGAATTTCCATTGTGCTGAGTTGTTGCCTCTCCTCCATGTCAACTCTTGTTGTGACCTTCACAGTATATACATAGTGATACAGCTGATAAAGATGTGGAAAAATACATGTGTGTGGGTTGCACAATTGGTGGCATTACAGTAACCTTTGGTGGGAACAGTGAAAGCATGAGCTGCCAAGATACTCTTAACGTCCCGTTACACAACATAATGTACGGTGGGCACAAGCTATGTAGATACCCCTGGTCAGTGCTGCCAGGAGCACCCCTAATATTGCATGTGTACACACAAATTATTATGTATACTAAAACAAATGTTTGGTGAGAAAACACACATCCAACTCAGTGGTTGAACACAAGTGTATGTCTTAGAATAATCAGGAGCACATAGCCCCCAAACACCCCGCAGTAACTCACGTGCCATCTAAATACATGTCTAAACCAATTCTTTCCGTTCTGTTTTCCTGTTCGCCAAACCAGCATTAGTAAATTAGCTACCTCTGGTAGCTCTTAAACACTTCATAATTATTGCTGTTCTACTTGGACCACTCTTATACTCACTGTTACCATTTATTGTATCGTCGACACGACCAAAAAACCATTTTGGCACAGAAACAGGACTCTGAACAGTACACTGCGCGGTGTGCGGTTCCGTTGTTTGCGTCGTGCACCACGCCTCCTTGTGGGTGTAGTCCCGCGCAAAGAAACAAAGAGAATCTTCTTTCTACTAATGATGAGAACTTTAACTGTTGCTGCAGTATTTCAAACAGCATGTCGATATATTTCAACACACTTTCTCGATCAGTAGCAAGCATTCTATAGGGTATTTCATCTCCCTATGCAGCCAGTGAAGCAACCTCTCAGTAGAGTTCCCACTGCCATGAACAGAACCTGTTGTCTGAAGGATCACATCTGGCAGGCTGTCCAGAGAGAGAAGACTAGCATCAAGGTAGCTGACTGTAGCTCCACTCTCTATACTGGTGCCCAACTTGAACTGCAAGACAACTCTTCCCTATACCAGTGGGACCGACCAGATTGATTATTCTCACTTCGTCACTCTGCATGTCCATTACTCTCATTAGGTCACTACAGTGGAACCCCTCTAAGGCGGACAACTTAGAGCCGCAATATTTTGTCCATTATAGTGGGGTGTCCTTTATGGAGGGGTTTTGCCTGATTATATTACACAATTCTATGGCACTAATTCACTGTTAACATCCTTAAAACACTCTAGACAAGATTACAACATGATAATAATGATGATGATGACAGTCTAGTCAAAGTCTATAGAAATTATTATGCGCTAAAATATTCCGCGCTTCTTTAGGATTTCAATTTTCACATGTCGTGAGTAGCTACGTGCGTATACGCGTGTGTGTGTGGCTCCATACTCTCGCAATCATGATCAGTCCTGAAGATCCCTTCGTCGTCGAAGAGAGAAGGAAAGAGAACATCGTGCACGTGAGACTCCTGAGCAGAGAGAGGCTCAGCGTGATAGGGTATTTTTACACGCTGCCTAGCTGTCGTATCGATTCAAAATCTAGCCAGCGAAAGAACTCTCGTCTATTCGCTGGCATTCGCTGCGCTCTTCGATCTATACCTGACCGAGCGTGGTGATGCTATCTCTTTCCACTCTCGTGGTCTATATAGGATGCTCGTGCAGATGTGTGCTCGCTCCGCTCGCCAATAATGTCTCGCCTACTAGTATTCGCTGGCAGGGGTGCGTGACGAAAACTGTCGTACGCTGGTTTTTCTACGTTGTGGAAAGCATTTGGATGGTTTTACTGTCCGTTCTACGGGTAGCGGGGTGTCCGGTCTGGAGGGGTTAGGAACGTCATGGGAACTCGCTAAACCATCGGAACCTGCGATTTGTTGTCCGTTATAACGCGTTGTCCGTTATCGAATCACTTTTGTAGGTCATTAACCCTCGGCGCGCCATGCACAGCGAGGGTTACTGTAGTTGGGTTTGTCTGTGGTCTGTTATTCGTCAATCTCACTTCCGGGTGTTTCGTTCGTCTCACAAAGGATAGACCTACTTAACGGGCAATGAAGGTCAGAATTTCGAAAGGTTTTCTCTGAATATGCTCGTTGCAAAGCATATAGCGCTTCGGCATTGTATGGCAAATGCCGGTAGTCGCCATTTTATCGCTGGCTGTACTGCGCATGCGCTTATATTTAGCACAGGCTTACCTCGACCGGTCCGCTTGCTCTGTCTATCTTGACGGGGCACAAGAAAAAAGACAGTCACACCGCATGCGTGTATTGACGCTCGCGTGCTATCTACATACTGTGCTAGCCCGTGTCAGACTCTCTGCGAGCTACTTCGCCGAGGGTGTGCTTTTCATTGGGACGGTGTGCGTTACTCTCATCTCACCTCTGAATGTCTGTTCCTCTCACAAACGATACGACCTACATGAAGGTCAGACTTTCGAACGGTTTTCTCTGAAAAATGCGTTCGTTGCAAAGCATAGAGCGCTTCGCCATGGTCCGGTTCTAATGCAGTCGGCATTTTATCGCTTCGGAAAATTCGCGACATGCGGTTATAATGCTAATTAGCACAAGACCGCGACCGGGCCGCTTGCTCTGTATGGCGCGCCGTTCGTGTCAAAACGATTTTTCCCGTAAACCTCTGTAATCGGGGTGACAGATCGTTTTCGGGGCGACGAATCGTTTTCGCGTCGACGATTCTCCTTTCGTGGCTACGTATCTCTTTCGCGGCGACGAATTTCTATGGCGACGATCGTTTATCGAGCGAGAGAATTCTGTCATAAAGGCGAAAAATCTTGGATTGAGGCGGCGACCAGGTAAGGCGACGATATTCTGTGATCGGGTAGGAGAGTTGAAAGGCCAACTTTCCTAGAGTGCCTAGAGGGCCTGTAGCCAATACAGTACATTGATCGGTACCTTCCAAAGTCCCGCCACTACTGGGTTTCGAGTAAGTTACCCTTTGAACTCTCTCACCTGGATCATTTATTCATGAATCGTCGCGGTAGGAAAGTTTCGTGCCGCATATAACTGGTCGTCGTCCTCAATCCAAGATTAGTTTCCTTGAAAAGCTTTCGTCGCTTGATAAACAATCTTAGCCGTAGAAATTCGTCGCCACGAAAGAAGAATTGTCGCTACGAAAGGAGAATCGGCGCCCCGAAAATCGATTCGTCGCTCAGAAAACGATTCGTCGCCACGATTACTGAGGTTTACGGGGAAAAAATCGTTTTGACACAAACGGCGCGCCATAGGAGAGAGCGAGACATGACAATGCGCATGTAGTGCGCGACAAAGAACTGCGCGCGTGATATATTTGCGCGTGTGCGTGTATGGTATGCGCGTGTGTGTACGTACGGACGCACATTGCCATTGAGCATGCGTATACCGACGTGAAATGCGTTTACTTACGCGTGCACCGAGGGTTTGCACTTCAGTGCTTTTCATTATTCACAGAAATCATGTCATTCCACATTGTTCCTGGGTGTTCCACAGGAGTTACTGGAACTGGAAGAGAGACTGGGTCCTGCTCAGCCACGGGCCTCTCCAGAGATGGTGCGTTTAACTTCTCTCTCACTGTAACTTACTGCTTTAACCCTTCTCCCACCTACCCTATTACACCGTAATTGAATAGAAACTGTTACTAAAAACAAGCCTGTTTTCTACCTCCCATTAACCTCTCCAGAAATCAGTAGGCTGCCATCAAGAACTCGAAAGACGGAGACAACAAGAGGTAAGGAAGTTAAATCACCACACTACAGTTCTATTTAGAGCACACCTTATTAGGAGAAGCTGCATGAAACTGAACCAATTCTCCTTTATAGAGAGGTGCTATTTAGTAGTGCACCACGCCGTGTGAAACCTGCAAAGCAAACACGGTTAGTATCGGACACAGTGGACACTTGGGAGATCACTTGTGAAGGTTAGAACGATGCTCTGTCCGCTTGA